AACAAGACGTTGTTCTAGCGTAAGACATCCTGAACCCACGCAACGCTGAACCAACAACATAGGACCTTTGCCTATGGGTTCTCTAACTGCAAATATGTATACTATAAAGCCATACGTGTGTACTGTGGCTACTGTAGGTTGTCACCTGTATCATTATGAAGGTAACACCATGCTTTTCGAGCAAAAAGCAGTGATCGAACCAAGGGACAGTGCCATCCTCAAGTCAATCAACCTTGACCTGTAATTAAAAGCTTGAGACCCTTTCCCAAGGTGATGCCTGCTGCCCGCCCAAATGTCATATGAAACATGATTCACCCTTAGCATTGGTGTAGATTGTCATTGCCGCATGGAAATTCCCCCATCGCGTTGCCACAAATGCAGACGATGCCACAACAATACACTGCCAGTCTTCCTTCAAACAGTCCGACCCCCCTGTGAGGTCGCCAGGTGCGTTAAATGAATGCACCGACGGCAAGCAGCAAGCCAGAACAGCCCAGTCGATCCACCAGAACGGGCTCCACCAGAACGGGCAGAACGCAACTAGCTCAAGACATGGCCCTAGCTACGCAAAGTATACGATTGAAGCTTGACTAGCAACATGGAAGTTTAATGATACATTGCAAAACATGTTGCTGCAAAAAACAACATTCCCTTCAACACACCCTGAAGTATGGTTTATTATTGGTGTGAAACTGATACAAATGCAAGAGAAGCGATCGTCAAAGAACAACTGAGCAACTGTGTACCTGACCTTTTGAATTTTCTTCACCAGTCTTCCCACAGAAGTTCCTATTGCCTGCCCAGTGGCTCCTACTGCAGTCTTCTTGATCTGGTATGGCATTGTTCAACAAATCTCTCAAGAAGGATTGAATTTTCCGCAAATATCCTGAAAACTATTCTATGGTTAATGGTACGGATTTGTTGATAAATGTTGTCTTTACTCCTGAGGGTTGCTCTTGGTATACAGTGTTCCGATGCAAATGATGCACAATGTGGAACAATCAGGAATCTTGTGCAACACTCAGGAAGATATCCGGACACTGGTAATAAAGGAAGTGCCCTTTGATGTCCATTTGTCAACAATTTCTGGACCAAAATCCCTGCCTAGATAAGCCCTCTTTCCGGGGAGGTGGAGAAGTACGTACTGCTGAGCAAGCAGCAATCGTGCCGTGGCAACATGGTGCGACAAAGCCTGCTGTGTTGGTGTCACACACAAACCTCCAAGGGCGCGCGGAACGACCATGTTGTTCTTCGCTCAGTCATTGGCTCAGGCCCCGTGGGCCCGTGGTCGGTGTTTCACCACGGCCGCAGGGCCAGTGCTTCAGGATGCAGCCCAATGGCAGGGCGATTCCACCAGTGAGACGGCAAGACGAAGTCGTTGTTAGAAGTGCCTGAAAAATGGTGTCAACAGTGTCAACACACTGCTACAAAAGGCCGAGAACACTGCTACAAAAGGGGAACGAACAGGGCTCGGATCCGCAAGGGATCCGATCCGCCACAGCCGCGAGAAACCGTTGGATCCATGGAGCAGAGTCCACACTAAAACACATGGAGTCTTGGAAGCTCATCTTGCTTGGTTTCATGATGTGTACAGTATCCAAAGAAACTATCTTGTTTGAGCTTGTGAGCCAGGTCTTGAGTCTCTCACTCATGACATGAGGCTTCTTCAGACGCTGTCCACCAAGGAAAGAGTTCAACAAGGACCTCGGACAGTACGTTGGAGAGAAGTCAGTACTGACTCCGATGGTGAACACGAAGTGGCTGTGGATCGAATCCCAGGGCGCAGTGGCTGTGTGTCGCTCGATGGATTTGGGTTGCTCTACCAGGTACCCTGCCCACAGCGCGTTTGGAGATCAACTGAATATAGTCAATATAGTCACCCCCCTAACCCACCAGCTTCAGATTCTGAGGATGTGGTTCGGGTTGGGCAGTATTGGTTTCAACCCACTCCCGTGTTGAAAACCGTCTCGAAGTCAAGAGTCTAGCTCTATTGTTCTCCAAACACTGCTTAGCTGGAAACCCTGCCATCGACCCCCGCGGTCAACAAAAAGAAAACAAGGCCGGCACTCAACAGCTGGTGGTTCCATCATATTATCTATATATGTCATATTCAGTTCTATGCCATTATCATGTTTCATCTCTTGCTTCTCACTGGTGTTCCGTCTGCACCCTCGAATTTCACATGGGCTCGGTGGCCGCGAGCTTCAGCTTCAGCGACAGGAAGCGACACCACGAGGTCACACCGTCCAACAGACCAAGGGAACCTGCCTCCTCCGTGAGATCACACGGTGTTCAATGGTATTTTTCTATGCATCTCACTCACACAGACACAGAAGCAGCAATTTGGCAATGCACCATTCAAAGCTGGTCTCAAGCCATTCGGGAAACGCAAATGATGGTCATTCTCCTGTATCCTACTCTCCCATACCCCCCTATGGATCCACTGCCACCGTACACCTGAGAAGAAGGCGTCCTACTTGGACCTTCCAATGGCGACCGCCTCACCGCTACATCAAGCCGTACGTCTCACCGTCCTCACACCGTACGTCTCCGTCCGGTTCGGTGGCCGTGGATCCATAGGGCTCTGTCTGGCCTGTTGACGTAAGGTATACGGTAGTCTGGACACCCAGACAAGATGACGATGATGACCCTGGTACACGTAGTACGCTGGTGTCACAAAAGGCATTCTAGAGACATATTGAGACACCAATTTAGGTGGCGAAATCAAGCGTCTAGACTAGACGTGGTTTTGTCGATCGTTGGCGCTGGGTTGTCGTTTCAGATGGTCCACTTCAGCTAGCTTTTGTGCGTCTCCAGATTCCAGGAAGGTTCCACACCATGAACCAACATCCGAAAACAGAACGCCAATGCCATGTGGCGTCTAAAAACTGAGTGGCACTAAAAAAATGGTGGGTTTGAGGTTCCAGGTATGTCTTCTCCTTGAGCGTTTCTTCAATAAATTATGATAAATTGAGATTGAGGATTCGCACGTGCTCTTGATCTTGCGATCTCGTGACAATCCATGGGTAGGCGGCTCGAGGTGCACATGCTTTTGGTAACACGCCGCCATGCAGCTGTGTGTTTGGGACTTGTTTTGTTTTAAGATAACACAGGTCTTTTGGTTTTAGAAAAAGGTCGTCATTTTAGGCCAAGGACGACAAAACGCTATTTCCACGAGTTTCAAGAGAGGAAACCACTTTTCTAAAAGTGTGTACGCATGATGTTTGAACCGTGTGTGCATGTGGTATCACATCCAACCGAAAGCAATTGCGCCCCCACCCAATCCCAACCACCCCCACCCATCTTCCAAAGTGTCTGTGGATGTGGCATCTTCCAAGCATATCCAACACCACAGACGACTGCAAAAGATCCCAAACGCAAGTGCCAGGGAATTCCGGTCCAAACGCACAAAAAGCAACTGTGATCAAGTACGAAGAAGAAAAAGGTTGCCCTAATTCAACCTACTGTATAACCATTGTGTATTCGGTGAACATGCAAACGCGCCAACTTTCACGCCTATCAACGACATCGGACAAATTATTCGATCAAACGACCAAAGCGTACGGCGGTGATGTGGTGTCAACCGTTTCACTCGCACGCAGCAAGCAAACTACAAAGCCTTCGTGTCAATAGAAGACTGCTTTGCACAGGTGTTCTATCTCATTGTGACCAAACGATGACGCATGTGTCGCACATAAGTTTCCATGTGGTCTAGACTCAGCAGTCACAGATCCATCGTGCTTTCTCCTCAATCATGCTGTGCAACCGAAAGAAACAACCTCGTCGGCTCCACAGAATGCAAGTCAATGATAAAGAAATATAAAGAACCCTTCATGTTCATGCTGGTGGAATTGTTTAACAATTTGGTATGGCAAACTCCTCTACATTTGAAGCATACCATCTGTGTACATGTGGCATACCATCCAGCATGCATTGCTTTGATTCCTTCAGGGCAGCTTTAGACAAACAAGGGATTCCAAAGGGATGACCCAGGATGTCATACGGATGGTCTGGCTCAACATGAGTTGGTGTTTGGACTTCGTTTGACTGCTGAGCGTCTTCGCTCTCACTGGCTCAGCCGCTTCGGAATAGTACCGCTTCAACTGAGGAAGCCACGGATGGACAGATGAGACACTTCGGTGACGGAATTCACAGTTCGGTGACTCAAAAGATCACACAATATAGGGCATTGAAATGGACTACTACAGTACACTCCCTGGAATCATCATGCAAGTGGGTGCATGACGATTTTCTGCTGGAATAGGTGGTTTCCCACCTCCATGATGATTCCAGGGAGTGTATGGTTATTGTAGGTCTTTGTTGTGGCTGAAGTCGATCAGCCAATCGTCATGAGTCATCACCCATGAATGGCGCGTTGGTCTCGACCAACGTGCCGTTGGTCTCGGGTGGAGGATGGAAGGGCAACTGAGCATCTCTCTTGCCTGAAATTCTTCGGAATCCCTCATGGGTGTGTGCCAAGCTGAAGGACCTCTTACAATCAATCCCCAAAGTTTATATATAGTGGATTGAGCGTACATGGCGCTTCCCAAAAGGTGGTTCATGTGGACCCAAATGAACAAGTCTAAGGAGCAAACCACGCATGAGGCTAAGTGGGTCACCCGTTCGAAGTGACATGGACCAAAAACAATGCGCCCTTCGATGTAAAGCAGCTTTCCCCAAGACCTGGTCTGCTGTGAAGTGATTCTGCTTTACACATTCTGCAAGCCTGCTCATTGAAAAAGTGGAAGGCGTGGCAGTGTTTACAAAAAACACTGAGAAGCAGCTAAACCATTGGGTGGTGCTCCTCCGGCTGAGCATACTAGTAGCCTGTGACTACCCTGCAGCACTTGTTTACTGACTGGTACAGGTAATAGGACAGACCCAAAGAATATCCATAATCTGCTCAGTCCATCAATGTCAACGCACGATCGCATCACCAGCAAGACCCTTGTCCCTTTATCACAGCCGTCAGGACGCACGATCACATCAACGTGCCTGGTCTACTCGTCGTCTCGAACGATCCGCCTGGGGAATCATCGGGGGGGAACTCCACAGAATCCAAGGGCAAAGGGAAGAAGAACAAGCGGGTCAACTCAGGCGCCTTGGGAACAATAGCGGGGTTGATTTGGACCAACCAATAGTAAAAGGACATCTATGGTTGCCATTGTTGCCATCCCTTCAATCAGCAATCATATCAACAGTCACGAGTAAACAAATCATTTGAGGGTCGGATTCAGGAACTATATGAATAGGGGGCTGTCATTGAGATCCGATGCAATGGCCATTAGGGAACTCACATATCTATGTAATTCAAACTCAGATTGAGCAACTGGTTCTAGACTCAGTGGACTAGTGGCCTTTCCTCAAGAATTTCAGTACCAGGGCCACCTGTTCGTCCGTGATCTGTGGAAGGCTAGTCCAATGAAAGACATGAAATCCGAAACTTAGCACACAGTGAAGTCCCTCGATTAGCAATTCTCTGAATTATATAGTTGTCCCAAAATAGATGACCGTCACACGCTGACGTGGGAATGAACACGAACTTCTATCTGATCTATTTGAGGGTCTACTACAATGGACTCACAAAATGGACAAGGATTCTCTTTTTGAAACACCGCTGATCAACCCTTCAGATGTCAAACCCGTTCCCCTCTGCGATTGCCAGATGTGATCGAAAACCTGAGTGCATTAAATTTAAGCAGCTGAGCATATTAAAAACCTCAAAACCTTGAGTTAGTGCTGGAGAGCTTTCCCGACCCTCAGCAACTTCATGCAACTGCCCAATAGGTTGCACCCTTGAAGGCCTTTCCAAAAACCGCAGGTGCCCGGGCCATGCACGGAAGTAGGCTGCCATGCTAGACATCGCATCGGTGACTTCCTGCGATGAAAATCTACTGGATGGATGGATGGATGACCCACCCAACTTCGTGAGTACGCCCATGAGACCATCTCTAGCCTTGGAGGATTCCAGTCTCCAAGGTGTAGCGAGTTCGAGAGATTCGGCCACGATATTTGGGAGCAACTAGGTGGTATCTGTTACATCAAGAAAACGAGGCAACGGGACCAGTCTGAGTCTGTACGGAGCTTCTTCTCCAGTCTTGCACATGAAGTCCAGTCCCTTGAGGCTCCTAGAAACCCCGAGGTTGGGTCGTGCGAGGTTCGGACTTAGCCGATCGTCATGCCGATCACCTCGCAGCCGAAGCCGTAGACAACCCTCACCATCTTTTCAGTCAGACCATCGAAGAACAGCCGTTCTTTGGTTGAATTTGTTATGTGAAGGCTTGAAGTGATTGAACTCCGAGTTGGAATTGTGCTTCTCTTCATGATCTCCACGTACGAAGATCAACAAACTAGGCTAATCAATGCTGCTACAAGTAATGTGTGATGCTCGGCTTGCACGGCCTCGCTGCCTCGCTGCGCTCCTCTGCAAGCTCTCCACAGAAAATGCTCACATCCATACAGGTCTGTGTGACACTTTCGCCTGGCGACTTCGAAAGCAAACTAGAGCAAGCTTTGTTTGAGTCGAGCGTTTGGGCCGGAAGTCTAATTTTTCCCACAAATGTCGCTCCGCAAGGTTTTGGGGTGCAGGTGGGTGGCCTATGGTAGCCTCGATCTGCTAGATCTCGCTCTTTTCACAGCATGACTTGATCTACGTAAGAGTGATGTAAGGGTGCATTGGGCTTTGGCTTTGACCAGATTCTATGTCAATGTCAGGTGATTGTACTTGTCAAACGTCTTATGTCTCATGAATTCTGAGAAGCTGAATAGTATGGACACCGAAATCATTGAAAACATGCCCGCAACCACGGTTATTTCCATCACCCCTCACAAAACGAACTGTTCCGGATAGAGACAACGAACTATAACAACTTTCAAGTTTCTGATGACGAGCGGCTTTGCAGTCCCAGTTGACTCTTGTAAGATATCCAACCCTCTGCTGATGATTGCCACTAAGAATACTTCTAGGTTCTGATGTTTTCATGAGTTTCAAGATCTGGAAAAACTAATTTAAGGAAAATCCAATTTCATCTGTGATTGGGGAGATCCTTTCCTCAAACACCATGTTCGTTGTGGACGAAAGTCTGCACCGCCATGGATACACTCTAAGGATCTCCTATCTCTACTAGACGACGAGAGGCCCGAAAGCATTTTTCATCACGTAGGAAGTCAGAGTGCGAGTTATCTGTTAAGTGTGCAGTGTGAAGTGTTAAGTCGAGTGAGTTGAGGTAGTGTGTGGGTCTCTGTGTGTGTATCTATGCCCGTGTGTATATGAGTCTCTGTCTGTGTGTGTGTCCGAGTAAGTTGAGGCAGTGCGTGGGTCTCTGTGTGTGATGTGTGTGTGTGTGTTTGTGTATGAGTCCCTGTCTGTGTGTGTGTATGTCCATGTCTGCTGCTGGTGAAGGTCTTCACTGTACATATAGTGAACGAATTAGCGCGCAGGCCTCCCAAACCCCCCACCGGCGGCCAAGCGGTGACAGCC